CCGGGGACGGGCCAAGCGTTTGAAGTTTAAACGTTTAAGCATTTTAGGCGTTTAAACTGTTTGGACAGAGTTCGGGCTTTGGAGCGTTTAAACAGTTTAAACAGTTCGCAAGGCTCAGCGTTTAAACATTTGGTGGGGCTCCAGGCTCCAGGTCGTTTAAACATGTTTTAAGAGGTCGTTGGCAAGTGTTTAACTAAACAACAGTCCTCCGGGCAATTGTTGGCCCGAGAATGGTGCCCAAAGAACCTAAACCTTGTGTCCCCAAAGCCCCAAAACGCGTGCTCTTTGCAGCCAGCCACTCTGTGTTTATGTTTAAACATATGTTTAAACATGTGTGCGTTTAAGCATTTGACAGTTTAAACCGTTTAATGTTTAACCACGTTTAAGCCGCTTAAACCGTTTGAACATTCTGAACCGCAAGGGCGCCGTTTGTTTGAACATTGTGCGTTACACGTCGAAATTTTAAACCCGTTTAAAAGCACAGCCCCCCGCCCAGCCCTGTTAAACCCGTAGCCATCTCAACCCTCCTACACCGTAAGCTTTTGCCCGGCGAAAATATGGTTGCACGCCCGAGGAGACGTCAAAGAGCGTCCCAGAACATCCAGATTGGCCGAGCCATTGCCGCTTGACGTCGCACAGGATGCTGTGGATGGCGGGTTTCACAGCTGTAGGCTTAAACTCCACTACTCTTTGCTTAAGAACCACCTCTCCCCCCAAAAAAGCAATTCATCCTTATAAGGGCAACATGATGATTGTTCTCTTGCATGTTTAAGGGGTTCTTAAGCCACTAGTAGTTTAGGGTCTTAACTAGGGTTGTATCGCTTTAGGGTCTTCAAGCCTTGTGTGGATGGCGCGCGGAACTTCTACCAAATTCCAACTGCGTCATGGGTTGGCCACATGCAGGGCTTTTAGGTCCAAAGCCCAAAAGCAAACGGTTGGGCAGCTGGCTCCCGATCCGTGTTGCAGACTCTGCAGGTAGCCCGAAACTCTCGACCTTGAGCCCCAACCCCTACAAGCCCCAAACCCCAAGCCCCAAGCCCCAAACCCCATACCCCAAACCCCAAACCCCAAACCCCAGCCCCCAAACCCTAACCCCAAACCCCAAACCCCAAACCCTAAACCCCAAGCCCTAAACCTTAAACCCTAAGCCCTTGACGACCAAAGGACCAAAGCCCAAAAATCTTCCCCTCAAGAACCGAAAGGCCCTTCTAGCACCAAGATCATGGGTCCTCGGCTTGGGGGTTAGGGTTTAAGGTTTCGGGTTCAGCAGAGGCCCCCCAAATAAATCTCCAGAAATCAAATGGTCATCGCGTGCAGCAAAGACGTTGACAAGACCCTTCAACCCAAGCCCGCTCAAGGCTTTCAATTTCAACATCCGCCGCTTGGGATCAACCGTGGCAGAGTTGTGTTTTTGTGAGGGATCCTCGGCTACCCCCCCCCCCCCACCAAAACCCCAAATCCTTCTCCACAACCCCTACTCATCAAACTATAATGGTGGGGTATCTGTGTCAAGGAAGGTCTAGGCTGCTTTGCGAAATGTTGCTCTAAACCCTCATCGCAACGACACTCTAGTCGCGAAACACCCCAAACCCAGCACCCTAGACCCAAAACACCCACCCTAAGCCTCTCTTTCATACGTAGACAAACCTTAATGGGCCAAGTCGGCGGCAAATTTCTCGAACCATTTCGGTAGGCGGCGAATTCGCCTTGAGCCATTGAGGTTTACCACCTAAACGGCCCCAGGGTTTAGGGTTTAGGGTTTAGGGTTTGTCTTCGGCATGTCTCGGCCCCACCCCTCCCCCCCTCCGTTCGCAGCAAATTTGCCACCGACTTTGGGCCATCAAAGTGTATAACCCTCAATCGCCCAAGTCGGCGCCAACTTCCCGCCGGCTGCAAAGTTCTCGGCCCAGCACCACCAGCACCACCAGCACCACCAGCACCACCAGCACCACCAGCACCACCAGCACCACCAGCACCACCAGCACCACCAGCACCACCAGCACCACCAGCACCACCAGCACCACCAGCACCACCAGCACCACCAGCACCACCACCACAGCACCACCACCAACACCACCACCACCACACCACCACACCACCAGCAGCAGCAGCAGCCACACCACCACCACCACACCACCACCACCACCCACCACCACCACCACCACCCACCACCACCACCCACCACCACCAACCACCAACCACCAACCACCACCACCCACCACCATCACCCACCACCATCACCCACCACCATCACCCACCCCCCCCCCCCCCCCCCCCCCCCCCCCCCCCCCCCCCCCCCCCCCCCCCCCCCCCCCCCCCCCCCCCCCCCCCCCCCCCCCCCCCCCCTCCCCCCAGTAGTTTAGGGCTTTACGGTTCAAGGCAGCCAGGATTTAAGGGTTCAGTTTAGGGGACTAGGGTTTAAGGTTTAGGGTTGATTGAAAGGATATAATTTACTGCTGTGGGGTCCAAAGGGCCGGTGGGTAGATATTCGATACCAGAGTAGCGAGCTTCACTAGTGAATGCCCTATGCCCTAAACCCCAAACCCCAAACCCTACACCCTAAACTATAAACCCTACATCCTACACCCTAAGCCCTAAGCCCTAAATCCTAAACCCTAGACCCTAAACCCTAAACCCTAAACCCGAAACCCTAAACCCTAGACCCTAGACCCTAGACCCTAGACCCTAAACCCTAAACCCTACACCCTAGACCCTAAACCCTACACCCCAAACCCCAAACCCTAAACCCTAAAACCCTAAACCCTAAACCCTAAACCCTACGCCAAGGAACCTCTTTGCGGCGCCTGAGCTGCACCTGGAACCCTGGGAGCTACGGTTTGGCATAGGCCGAAACAAGAGGGATGCACCCCAGCGAGTGCCTGGAAGCTGCATAGGATTTAGGGTTTAGGGTTGAGGGTTGAGGGTTGAGGGTTGAGGGTTGAGGGTTGAGGGTTGAGGGCTTGGGGTTTAGCGTTGAGGTTTTTTTGTGACGTGGGGTGGGGGGGGGGGGTGGCCGGGGGCGGGGGGGAGGGGGAAGGGGAGTCGGAGGAGGGGTTGCATTCGGTTACTATTGGGTTAGGATTTTCCTACACGCGACCCTGAAACCCTACACTCCATACAAGCCCGATCTGGAAAGCACATCCCTAAGCCCAGGCCTTAACCCAAACCCCAAACTCGAATCGCTAAACCCTAGACCCTAAACCCTAAACCCCAAACCCTAAATCCTAAACCCTAAACCCTAATGTATTCTTAACGCCTAAACCCTAAACCCTAAACCCTAAACCCTCAACCCTAAACCCTAAACCCTAAACCCTAAACCCTAAACCCTAAACCCTAAACCCTAAACCCTAAACCCTAAACCCTAAACCCTAAACCCTAAACCCCCTTAAGCACCTGCAACGCAGCCTTCTTTGCCTTCCAAGGCCTTCGTCGCCACCCGGTGGATTCGTCTCTTGATCACCTTCCTGCAGGCCCCTTCCGGGGTTCTCAAGGTTTAGGGTTCAGGGTTCAGGGTTCAGGAATCAGGGTTTAGGGTTTAGGGTTTAGGGTTTTAGGGGGGTTTTGGGTTTTTTTTTAGGGTTTAGGGTTTTAGGGGGGTTTTGGGGTTTTAGGTTTTAGGGTTTTAGGGGGGTTTTGGGTTTTTTAGGGTTTAGGGTTTTAGGGTTTTGGGGGGGTTTGGGGTTGTTTAGGTTTTAGGGTTTAGGGGGGTTTAGGGTTTAGTTCCCCACATGATCGCATGCGAATGCCGCGCAGGCACGCTTGGTGGGGGGGGTCGGGGTTCCACTCCCCCTCGCTCGAGATGTCGCGAAAACCTCCCCAGCCCAACCCGAAACCCCTATAATGGCCCTGTATATAAACCCTGTAAGCCCTATATATACACCTCATAAGCCCCATAAACCCCTAGAAACCCTATAGACCCTATAAATCCTATCAACCCTATACACCCATGACCCAAACAACTTGAGCCCGAAGCCCCCTACAACCCACAAATCCCTCCCCCCTCCCCCTAAACCCTAAACCCTAAACCCTAATTAAACCCTAAACCCTAAACCCTAATTAAACCCTAAACCCTAAACCCTAATTAAACCCTCATTAAACCCTAAACCCTAAACCCTAAACCCTAATTAAACCCTAAACCCTAATTAAGACCCTAAACCCCAAACCCCGCGAAGGTGCGCACCGTGGGCATCAACATGGTGACGCTCGGCGTTGAGGGTGGTCGGCGTTGAGGGTGGTCGGGGTTTAGGGTTTAGGGTTCAGAGTTCAGGGTTTAGGGTTTCGGGTTCAGGGTTTAGGGTTCAGGGTTTAGGGGTTCTGGATTGAGTCCTATGGGTGTCTGGGGTCCGCCCGCCGCCACCGGAATCCCTCAACTCTCAAGTAGTCCCCAGTACTGTAGCCCTAAACCCTGGACCCTAAACCTAAACCCTAAACCTTGAGAACCCCGAAACCCTGAAGCCTAAAGTAGGTCTTAACTTCTTGAAGGGGGGAGACCATTGCAAACGCCCTCCAGGGTTGGTGTTTGTAGTTTGGGGTTTAGGGTTTAGGGCTGGGGTTTATGGTCTATAGTATAGGGTTTATAAGGGTTTAGGGTTTAGGGTTTAGGGCTAGGGTTTAGGGTCTATAGGGTTTAGGGTTTGTAAGGGTTTAGGGTTTAGGGTTTAGGGTTGAGGTTCAGGGTTTAGGGTTTTTGGGGTTTAGGGGTTTGGGGGCTTTGGGGTTCGGGTTTCGGGTTTTGGTGTGGGGTTTGGGGGGTTTGGGGATTTTGGGGTTAGGGTTCAAGGTCTAGTTCCCTACATGATCGCATGCTCAATGCCTGATTTGGGGCTAAACCCCAGAAACCCCAAACCCCCAAACCCCTAACCTGCCGCCAGGGCGCCGGGTGGGAGGATTTTCAGCCCCAAGTTTGGAGAGCCGAGTAGCTTTTCATCACACTGACTTTTGAGGTGTCGCTCGCACTTCAGGCTTGCGGCAGCAACGCAGCCAAGGGGCTCTTTGCCTCGATGCACGAGGCGGAGCTGATGACGTCATCACGGGCAGACATACTCGGCCGCATGATGGAGCTGCAAGTGGAACACCGCGCGGGGAATGTGATAGTGTGGACGCCAGGTGTGCTGAATGATAAGAAATTCTGCTGGGCCCACAATCAACAGAACATGAGCGGCATCGCGCGATTCCTCGATGACTACGTTGACACCCATGGCCGTGCTGAAGATGGATCAGCCCGACCTGAATGGCGTGATCAGTTCCGCTTGGTTGGCTATAGCTCTTGCCGTGATTTTCCATCAGGTATGCAGATTGCCTTGCAGCAGAAGGGGCATGCGGCAGAAGAAGGGCAAGGTGTCCAGGAGCCCCTTGGCATCCCGAAACGCTAAACCCTAAACCACCTTCTTAGTAGTAGAGTAGGTAACCTTTAACCTTTTTGGGTTAATATATTCCCCTTAAAATCCCAAAGGTTAACCTTTAAAACCCCTAGGTACTGGACAACTAAGTTGGAGCCTTTGGGTAAACCCGACAGCCCACACTGGTAACCAAAGGTTTGGCTATCGTTGACGAAGAGTGGCAGGGGATGAACCAGCTTGCGCAGGTTCGGGGTTAAGGTGCTCTTGGATGCCTAGGACCAAAAAACCGCAACCCTAGAACTTTAGGAGTTAGGGGTTTAGGTGTTTAGGGGTTTAGGGGTTTAGGTGTTTAGGGTTTAGGGTTTAGGTGTTTAGGGTTTAGGGTTTAGGTGTTTAGGGTTATAGGGTTTAGGGGTTTAGGGCTTTGGGGGCTTAGGGTTTAGGGTTTAGGGTTTAGGGTTTAGGGGTTAGGGTTTAGGGTTATAGGGTTTAGGGGTTTGGCGGTTTGGGGGTTTCGGGGTTTAGGGGTTAGGGGTTTAGGGTTTTAGGTCTGATACAGCCCGCCACGAGACTCTGGCGATGAAACCCTAACCCCTAGCCCCTAAACCCTAAACCCTAAACCCTAAACCCTAAACCCTAAACCCTAAACCCCTAAACACCTAAACGCCTAAACCCCTAAACCCCTAAACCCCTAAACCCCTAAACCCCTAAACCCCTAAACCCCTAAACCCCTAAACCCCTAAACCCCTAAACCCCTAAACCCCGAAACCGCTAACCCCTAAACCCTAAACCCTAAACCTTAAACCCGAAACCCTAAACCCTAAACCCTAAACCCCTTCAGGCCGGTGATGCATGCCATCTTGCAGCCAGCTTCCCGCACCTTCATCGGGTTCCTGTTGCGCCTCGGGGCGCAGAATGGGTGTAGGTTTAGGGTTTAGGGTTTAGGGTTTAGGGTTTTTAGGGTTTAGGGTTTAGGGTTTAGGGCTAGGGTTTAGGGTTTAGGGTTTGGGGTTTAGGGTTTAGGGTTTAAGGGTTGCTCATGGGACTCTTTTTGGAGGTTCAGGGTACTTAAGTCATTCCCCGCATGTAAGCCCCTTAAGGACCCTAGTAGGGTTATATTTGGGGCATAAATACAGTTATAATTCGGTTACTAAGCACCATGAACCTCCAAGAAGCCCTAAACCCTAAAACCTAAACCCTAAACCCTGAACCCTAAACCCTAAACCCTAACCCCTAAACCCTAAACCCTAAACCGCAAACCCTAAACCCTAAACCCTAAACCATGCTCCTCCAAGTTCGAAGTACCTCGGATCCCAAGGTCGTACCCTTGGGTTTGGGAACCTTTTTTTAAGGATCCTCTAAGGGAACATAAGGGTGCTAGTAGGCGTATAGTACGGGAACCTCTTAGGAGTACATCCTTAGGCGGAAGAGTTGATTGAAATGCAGGTTTTTTTTTTTTTTTTGGGGGGGGGGGGGGGCGGTTGGGGGAGAGTTTAGTAGGGTAGAGGCCCCTGAACCCTGAACCTTAAACCCGAAACCCCAAACCCCAAACCCCAAACCCCATACCGAACCCCAAACCTTAAACCCTAAGCCCTACGCGTTGGGGATCTGGACTCCGAATCTAACATCGCCCCCCAGCCGGATGTTCTTACATCCCAGACCCCTCCATTCGCACTCACTGGTAACACGGACGTAATCATCGGGCGGGCATGGATGCTCTGGCCATTGACACGCACTGGTATTATGGATGTACTCGCGGCGGGAAAGCGAAGATGTGCACCCAAACGAGCAAGGGTGGTCTTTGCTTCTGCGCGGCAAGCCTAGGTTCAGGGTTTAGGGTTTAGGGTTTAGGGTTTAGGGTTTAGGGTTTAGGGTTTAGGGTTTAGGGTTTAGGGTTTAGGGTTTAGGGTTAAGGGCTCAGGGTTGAGGAGCTAAAGGCCTGAATTGGGACTTAGGAGGGATTATCATCTGGGGTACTAAAATCTCACTAAGGACTCCCCTAAACCATAAACCCTAAACCCTAAACCCTAAACCCTAAACCCTAAACCCTAAACCCTAAACCCTAAACCCTAAACCCTAAACCCTAAACCCTTAACCCTTAACCCTAAACCCTAAACCCTAAACCCTAAACCCTAAACCCTAAACCCCCAAGCCCTAAACCCTAAACCCTGAACCCTAAACCCTGAATCCTAAACCCTGAACCCTGAACCCTAAACCCTAAACCCAAAACCCTAGACCCTAAACCCTAAACCCTAAGCCTTAAACCCTAAACCCTAAACCCTGAACCCTAAACCCTAAACCCTATACCTTGTTAGTATTAATAAGGACTGTTAGCACAAGGGGGAACATCCCAAGGGCCTGATCCCTGAATGGAGAGCCGTACCTTCATACAACGTGAAGCTCTAAGAGACTCAGAGGCTCGAAACCCTCAGCCCGAGGTTTTTGGTGTCCGTAGGACCCTAAGGGTGTAGGGTTTAGGGTTTCGGGCTTCGGGTTCAGGGCGCTAAGGCCTTAGACTCTACCAAGCCAAATACAAAAAGCCTTCAGATCCTCAAGCCCCTAAACCTTAAACCCCCAAGCCTAATCCCTACAGTATATCTAATTGAAGATATATAGATATAGATAGATATATATATATATAAAGGTTCTACAAACCCGATGAGTTGGGATGTTCTCCCTATAACTGAAGCTGAGCGCAGGGTCACCGTCATCGCCAGCTCGCACGCTTACCTGGTCTTTCCCATCGAGGCCTTTTGGACATCGGGGGATTGGTGCAGTGGGGTTTGTGCGGGGGTCTTCTAAAGTGTTTAAAAAGTCCTAAGCCCTAAACCCTCAATCCTAAGCCCTAAACCCTAAACCCTAAAGCTTTATTCTTCCTGCGGTTTTGGGGTTCCTAGGATTTTTAGGGTTTATGGCTTTCAGGTTTAGGGGCAGGGGTCATCTAAATTTAGGGTTCAGGGTTTATTGTTTCGGGTTTCTTGGGGTTTTTAGGGCTTTTCTGGATTTTCGGGGGTTTAGGGCTTTAGGGGTGAGGGTTTTTCGGGGTTTAAGAGCTTTAAGGGTTTTGGACTGTAGGGTTCATAGGGCTGTTATGGTTAATAGGTTGGAAGTTATAGAGGCTCCTGCAGTAGGCTTGAGACTGGAGTTCAGCTTGCATCGGGTTAGCTGGGTCACGGTTTCAGGGATAAAGGGGTGAACAGGTTTGGCAGGGCTTGGGTAGTGCTTCTAGGGGTTCTAGAAGTTGTTGGGTGCAGGTTTCCTATCTCAAGTGTACAGGTTCTTAGCGTTATCAGAGTTCGGGGTTTAGGCTGCGCAGGGTAGTTTAGGGCATAGGGTTCAGGGTTTTAGGTTGGGACGTTCCCCGCCCATACGGACACTCATTAACAGGGGTTCTCATAGGGGGTCATATAATCCCTATCCGAAAAAACGCTAAACCCTAAAACCTAAACCCTAGGCCCTATGAAGGACTGTTAGTGTAAGGGGGAACATCCCAAGTTTTCGGGGGCCTAAACCCTAAACCCTAAACCCTAAACCCTAAACCCTAAACCCTAAACCCTAAACCCTAAACCCTAAACCCTAAACCCTAAACCCTAAACCCTAAACCCTAAACCCTAAACCCTAAACCCCCTAACCCTAAACCCTAAACCCTCTAAGCCCCAAACCCCAAACCCTAAACCCTAAACCCTAAACCCTAAGCCCTAAGCCCTAAGCCCCTAAACCCTAAACCCTAAACCCTAAACCCTAAACCCTAAACCCTAAACCCTAAACCCTAAACCCTAAACCCTAAACCCTAAACCCTAAACCCTCAACCCTGGGTTCGTAGGGCTTGGGCTTTGACACTTTAGGGTTTAGGGCGACAGGGTTGAGGCTTCCTTGCCTTGCAGTTGAGGGTTTAGGGTTTAGGGTTTGGGGTTTAGGGTTTAGGGTTTAGGGTTTAGGGTTGAGGGTTGAGGGTTGAGGGTCTTAGGGAAGTCGGGTTTTGGTCTCTAGGTCTAAACCAAAGCTTTCAGGGGTGTACGTTTTGTTAAATCTTAAAATGAAGGTGTGCAGGGTAAGTAGGGCTGAGGGCTTGAGATTGATTTTTAGTGCTAGACAGTGTTTATCGCCAAGATTGCGCGGGCCATGAGATGTGCTGGGTCGAAGCATGTGATGTGAGTTGGTTGAGTGACGAGACCGACCTTCTAGGAAGTGCCGTCTGAGACTGCCACAGGCCAGGTAGTTTGTGACGCGCGAGGGTCATCCGACAAGATTGTTCCGGTCAGATGGGGTGTGCACTGTTGGAGCATGTGCTTTGTGGAAGGGCGTGATGTGAGTTGCTTGAGTGACGAGACCGACCTTCTAGGAAGTGCCGTCTGAGACTGCCACAGGCCAGGTAGTTTGTGACGCGCGAGGGTCATCCGACAAGATTGTGCCGGTCAGATGGGGCGTGCACTGTTGGAGCATGTGCTTTGTGGAAGGGCGTGATGTGAGTTGCTTGAGTGACGAGACCGACCTTCTAGGAAGTGCCGTCTGAGACTGCCACAGGCCAGGTAGTTTGTGACGCGCGAGGGTCATCCGACAAGATTGTGCCGGTCAGATGGGGTGTGCACTGTTGGAGCATGTGCTTTGTGGAAGGGCGCGATGTGTGAGTTGCTTGAGTGACGAGACCGACCTTCTAGGAAGTGCCGTCTGAGACTGCCACAGGCCAGGTAGTTTGTGACGCGCGAGGGTCATCCGACAAGATTGTTCCGGTCAGATGTGGTGTGCACTGTTGGAGCATGTGCTTTGTGGAAGGGCGTGATGTGTGAGTTGCTTGAGTGACGAGACCGACCTTCTAGGAAGTGCCGTCTGAGACTGCCACAGGCCAGGTAGTTTGTGACGCGCGAGGGTCATCCGACAAGATTGTTCCGGTCAGATGAGGTGTGCATTGTTGGAGCATGTGCTTTGTGGAAGGACGTGATGTGAGTTGCTTGAGTGACGAGACCGACCTTCTAGGAAGTGCCGTCTGAGACTGCCACAGGCCAGGTAGTTTGTGACGCGCGAGGGTCATCCGACAAGATTGTTCCGGTCAGATGGGGTGTGCATTGTTGGAGCATGTGCTTTGTGGAAGGGCGTGATGTGAGTTGCTTGAGTGACGAGACCGACCTTCTAGGAAGTGCCGTCTGAGACTGCCACAGGCCAGGTAGTTTGTGACGCGCGAGGGTCATCCGACAAGATTGTTCCGGCTAGATGTGGTGTGCACTGTTGGAGCATGTGCTTTGTGGAAGGGCGTGATATG